TCTTGTTTTTTTTAAATTTTTTATGTTCTTGTTTGTGTTGATTTTTTTATAATATTTATAATATGTTTTTAGTTGCAATTGTGATACTTGTTGATTTTATACAAACAGTAATTTTTTTATTATTGTTATGACTTTACAGCATTTATGAGAGACAGCAGTCACAGCATTAAATAGATATGCTGAAGGAATATCTACTATACTGATGACAAGTAAAATTAATACTATAGTCTTGACTTGAATCCTTGTTCAAGAAGCTCCATCTTCCCTAGCTATCTATTCCTGTTCTTCCTGATGTCAAAGTCATAATCATTGCATTATTATAACATTATATAATTGTTTTTTTAAATAAAATAATTCATTAAACACTTGATAAAAGAATAATATGTAAGATTAATACCTTCTTTTAGCTGGAAACCTCCACTAAATAATGCAATTGACTCCAAGCATAGCTAGCCTAGCTAGGTTAAAACATTGATTGCTTTTCCCAGTTCTGAGATCTGAGCATGCGCGACCACACCCAAATTTTGGAGCACATGCTTCTTTAATTAACAAAATGGCGATGGGAGGTAAGTTGGCCTGATACAGCAGTCATAACGTCACTTTTTCTTATCTTGGAGAATGATTTTAGGGGACATGGATCCGCGCATAGACTGTTGGAGTAGAGTGATGTAAGAATTATACTTCTAGCACGAGTCAAGATTGAGATACAGCTCGCCAACTGAATTGCCAGGACTTTCTTGATGATGAAGATGAAAAAAGGTGGCTGAACAAAACGGCCGGTTCGCCGATTTTTGGCTTTCCTCTTAGACTAGGTTTAGAGCCACGCTAGTGGTACCAATGGAGTCCTCTGGTCAAGATAAGGTCCTCTATAAAGTCTGGTAAGCATAGGAGCTCGTTTTCCCGGTATAGCAAGGCTCCAAAAGTCGTGGCAGCCATTTTGTTTGGGGGTGAATCCTACTTAGTAACGCTACTGCGTTACTAATAGCCTTTGGTTGTTGGCCAAATTTGATCAAAAATGACTAGGAGAAATTTTTTCGTTTTTATAATTTTTTCTGATACATATGCATGTTCTTATGTTATGTATTAACTTTAAGCTGATTCCAATCAAATTTGGATTTTTTATGAATTTTTAAAGTTACTAAAAAGTCAGGCCAACAATCAAAGGCTATTCCGCTATAGCCTTTTAAAATAAGACCAAATTTTTTCAAAAATGGCTAGGAGCGAATTCTTTATTTTTATAATTTTTCTAATTATACATGTACCTTTCTCAGAATTGTATAATTTAAGGAGACAATTTGTTAATGGGTATTTAACTTAACAAATTTTAGCAATTTTTAAAAGTCACTAAAGTCCGCACTAACTCTAATTTCTGATTAAATTACTAATAGTTAAACATTAAATGATCAAAAGCACTAAATAAAATACCACCTAAAGGGTCAGTATGATGAAATCGCTGATATAAGTATACGCTAATAATTGTCTCCTTGAAGTAGTTAAACACAAAAAGTATCACTTTATTCTTTTTATATATTTTTCTTAGGCTCAGTTGCTATAAAAAGCTCATGGTTTGGTAAACCGGACAGGGCAATACATTATAGCTACTCTCTCTGCCATGGAGATGAACTATCATTCTCAAGCTGTTGGAAAGTAACTCATTCTCTTTCTGAAGGAAGAAATATTTATAAAGACAGTCAGTCAGCAGGTGTCATTTGCCTCTCGTTTCCTCCAAGCTCGAGCATAATTTCATCTAACATTGTTTGTACTGTTACTATAAACTATATTAACAGCAGTAGTACTACTACAACCAGAGTTTCTAGTAGCAGGATAAGACCTAGTTCTAGCAGTGTGTTGACTAGTAGGGTATCATCTAGCTGTATAGTCAGTAGCAGCAGTAGCAGTATATTCTCTACCACCATTAACAGTGTATCATCTACTACTACCAGTGTATTATTTGCAGTTTCCAGTGAATTCTTTTATTCTACTGTTAAATCACCTACTAGTAGCAGGATGTCATTTCATAATAGTGTATCAGCTATCATCAACAGTGTTTCATCTTCAAGTGGTGGTGATAGACCCACACACAATCCATCATCTACTAGCTACACTTTCTCGGTGAGTAGCATCATGACTATTAGTAGCAGTGTGCAAACTAGTGCTCAACCAACAGTTGGATCAAATGCACAAAATAATTCACAGGCCTTTGGTTCTATTGGAGTTGTCATTGTTGTCCTTCTTGCTGTTCTTATAATTTTGGTATCTGTTATTGGGTAAGTTGTAGCATACAGTATAATAACTATAATTATTTGTGTTTATTATACAGATGTGCAGTAGTTGCATGGTGTTTGAGGACTAATGTAAAGAAAAAGAGATCAACAAATCGTTCTCTTCCAGTAATGCAAATGCCAAGTGCCCAATATCAGATGATTGCCAATCAATCTACTGATGCTGATCCTAAAGACAGTTCAGATGAGGAATTTCCAGGGACGTCTGAACAAGGAGCTTATGATAAAGAACCAGATGAGAAGGAACCACTGTGTGAATTGTCAGTGTGATTTTTGTATTGGAATTAATATGTTAATAGATGAGTTATAGTTGTCTTTTGTCCTGCTGTTACCTGAGTTTATACTATGTTCTTACTTTTTAAAAAAACTCCTTACTTTATTAGTTATTAGCAAAGTTACGCTTTCGAATTCATTGTTTCCATGATGACCCTCCTCACTTGATGACATATCTTTACGTCTAAACCAAGCAGCAAAGCATTTGTTCAAACAATGATCACACTTCATTAGTTCCAGCAATATTTGATTGCATGGTCCTAAATTTAACACAAACGTGCTGTGTCTGTGGGATTCAGACTAAGTTAATTTAAACTGGCATGTAGACTATAATTTTAAAAAACAGAATTCCAGTGCTAGGAAATACCGGATGCATTTAGTAGCGAGATGCATAGATCTATGATCTATCATACCATGGATAATAATAATGTATACACTCCCACTCATTTCTACCATTTTGGTTAAAATTTTTGGCCAAACAAAAATTCTTGATAAATTTGACAAGATTTTTGACTGACGAAAATTTGGAGCCATAAAGGACTATAAAAAACCAGCCTACCGTCATTGGGGTGGAGCCGTCCACCCAATTATATTAATCACTGTAGACCTCGCTGTAGACCGACCTCGGACTCGACTCCTTTATCTGGCAGCAACCTCCCGGCCGGTCTGAAAGTGCCACTGCCACAGTCAGCCAAATCCAGTATTTATGATTAAACTTTATAGTGAGATCTAAAGTTATCATGGCCAGAAAAGGTATATTAATATTCTGTATGTATGCCGCTAGCTATGATGTTATCCATTTACATTGTTGTAAAATCTAATCTAGATGTCATTTTAACTCTGGTTTTAATGTAAAATAGACTAATTGAGAGATCTCAGCATATGCAATTTTTTATAATTTGTGGCTGCTAAAAGGATGTCAGCAGTCCTTGTTGGCAGTCCTACAGGTTGGTTTTTACCTCCTGTGAAACTTGATAATAATAATAATAATAAAGTAGTCTCATGGGCCGACCCCAACCAGGCCTGCAGGTGTCAGCCCAAGAGGCTAGATAAAGGCAGGTCACTCACACTTTTGATTAAAAATTGACTGTATGCTGGCCTAGCGTTATATTAGCATCATAATTGTAAACCCACCTTAAGATTCATAGTCTTCTGTTTCCCTCCCACATGGTATGCCTCATCACTATTCATTAGCACACAGTTTATACAGATGATAATGAATACCAGTAATACATCTATAGCAAGAGTACATAATTTATGTACTCTTGTAGATAGTCATTATACACTGCCCACCCGCTCAAAAAAAAGAGAAACTATATAAATGTAATTGCTAATTTGAATTTAAGAAAACGAAGCTAAAGCTTGTATCATAGTGAAGCATGTGTCACATGGGATTAGGTCTTGGTGCTTAATTGGCTTGTGGTCAGGCAAAATTTGTATTCACTACATACTAATTAGATCTATGTGTGCATGTGTGTACATACATGTGTGTGAGTATGACATTTCTGGCCACACACAATCACACATTAGTTAGGCAACGGCCAACTGTCTAGTCATATTTATGAACCAGAGAAATATTTTGTGGGCTAACTACTTCATGAAGATTTATATACTGTATGTCAGTGGATAAGATCTTGCAGATTTCATGGGTAATTTTTTACCCACAAAAACTAATACCTTGGAAGTACTCACTAAGCATGCCAAGCACATGTCCTCATGTGTAAAAATGCAAAAAAAAAATTCCCTTTAAATCAAAAAATTAAGAGTTTTTTAAATTACAAAACTGCAGAATTCTATGCCCTCAAAATTTTTCATAAAATAATAACCATTATAACTTCCATTTGTAATACTATTCCTTTACTGGGGTGATATGTACTAAGGTTTCCAAATTCTCATACTACCAACAAAAGGTGACTATTTATACCCAAGTAAAGAAAGCATGCATAAGTGTAATGATCGATTGACTTGCATGCAATACTTGAAATTCTCGCATACAATAAATTTGATTCCAAAGCAAGTTATAATGACATTTTTAATTTCTGTAGGTGAATTCAAGATTATAGCTGAAAATTATCTCCAAAGATGTAAGTTACAGAAATTCTTAATGGTGATTTATCAAGTATAATAAAAGATTGTACGACATGGCTGTTTTTTAAGTCATATGTAAAGGAATATGCAAGTTTGCTACTTTATGAAAATGGCTCCACTGTTCTTGAATTCAGGGCTGATCAAAATGATTATGTAAAATACAGATATGAAATGGAGGTTAGCTATTGACTTTGCTCACACATGCAGTTTATACAATGTATATGTAGTCTTGTGTTGGTGTATATCTCAGAGTCGAAATGGATCATGCAAGAGCAAATTGGCCAACTGACATTAATCCTGAATGCTGCTTTACATTGATAAACCAACGTGAAGACAAAATTTTGTACCTTATTGCTGAAAATTCAAAAATTACACAGTACGTATAAAAAATAAAGATATTAAGTATTTTTCCATTTTTTATTATACATGTAGGAACTGGACTTGGAAATTGTCACAGTACATAAAAGTAAGTTTTATTTGTTGTGAAATATGAGTAATTTGACTTTGCAGGTCCCTCAAAATGCCAGAAAACCATTTAGCGAAGAATTTAGTATGAATTAGCTCTCTTTAATTTTTATTTCATTTGCATATATTATAGGTGTCAACAACTTAATTGATGTGTATAACCTTCTAATTGCTGAGCCATCACTCCTTTCATCTGAACCATCATCTTGGAAATTTTTAGGTAGAAACCTAGGACTTGCTGATAGCACACTGCAGAAAATTGAAGACTTCTATGACACTAAAGAAGATCGCCTCTATAATTGTTTATCAAAGTGGATAAGAAGATGTGATCAAGTCGATGAGAAAGGAGGGCCAACCTGTTATAAGCTTGTAGATGCACTAAGAAAAATAAACAACGAAGAGATTGCAGAAAGAGTTTTTGCAAAATTTAATAATAAAAGTAAGTATTAGCACTTCATTATAAACTTAATTGCCATCATCTTAATTGTTTTTGCAGTCAATGACCCTGTACTATAGTACTTGGTCTTTGACTTGATTTTTGAGCAACTTTAGAAATTCTTAAATCCAATTTTAGTTAGAATACTTCAAACTTCTACACTAGACATAAGTACATGTATGTGTATCAGAAAATTTTATAAAAATAGATAATTCTCTTCTAGTATTTAGCAAAATTTGGTCAACCTGTACTATTTACTCTTGGTACTATCTATTGATTTCATTTTTGAGCAACTTCAAAATTTTGTAAAAAATCAATTTTGGTCGGAATGAGCTCAAACTTTCTACACAACATAAGTACATGTATATGTATCAGAGAATGTAATAAAAGTAGAGAATCATAAAAAATTAATGCTTTACTTAATAGTAATTAAAGCAGTATTAATATCATTCTTTAGATGGCGAAGAAAAAGGCACATCGATTAAAGAAGGTATAATTAATTTTCTGCATGCATATTATAGCAGTAAAATTTAGATCTTTTATCTTTAATATTTTAGATGGTGAAGAAGGGAAAAACTTGCTGACAGAGAAAGGTAATTGAAGTAATGAATTGTACTGCTTTATTGACTGAAACAGGTTCTGTAGAGCCACAGGGTGAGTCTGGTGATGCATGTCTTCCGGCACCAGGTCTAGAGGACACTGCCGTACATCCAGGTCAGTTGGAGGTTGTTAATGATATGTATTATTTTTATGAACTTCTAGAGCAAAAAAGTCAACAATTGCTTGAAGAAACAGAAGAAAGTTTTAAAGGTCAGTTTCTGTAGTTGTTGCTATATATTCATAGTATAATTTTAGATGAAGAGAGTCAAGAAATCAGGCAGAGCCAAACAGAAGATGAGGTTAGCATCATTAGCATGCATATAAAATACTGATTAAAATTGAAACACATGAAAATTAGTGTATGCATAGCTTAAAACAAAATGAGCATTTTGCCCTTCAGTTTACATTGAAAGCATGATTCCGTTCACTTTTTAATTCATATTTTGTCACCCTTTCTTTCCTTATAATTTATTATTATATTATTAACTAATACTGTATGTATCACTGAGTCTATTGAAAAAAATGTTTTTGCATTTATGCATTTATAAACTAGAGGAAAAGGACTTGGACTCTTGCTGGACATGGGGATAAAACATATGAGCAAGCCCTTGCCAACTGTCAAAAAGATACCAAATTAAGGATGCTGATGGAAGCTGTTACTTATAAAATGCAGAATTCAAAAATGAGCTTTCTCGCAGAAATTAAATTTCTTTCCAACACAAAGATGTCTAGTCTTGTCACCATTAATAATGAAACGCCACACACAATGATGTATCATCAGTGCTTTATTGCCAGAGGACGGATATCAGGCTATCCCGGATTTAATGAAAGCATTGCTGCTAACAGCCATAAAAGCTATTCGTTTGAAAAATATTCATCTTTGTCATTAGATGGCTGTGCTGCTATGATTTTGCTCTCTGCAACCACTTGTGAATCTACTAAATGCTATTTTGCAGTTGCTTTCAGGAATTACCTAAAATTTGCAAGTTTATCAAGGAATAAAGCTGCTCTGCTTATTCTTAATGATGCAGAATCGATTGTCCAAATGTCAGATTCACAATGCTTCAGTAAAATCATGAGGAATAAAGATGAAAGTCCTAACTTTGAAGGATGCTACAAAGGTGACATTTATAAACCATCATTCATGCTAGCATCATTGGATCAATCAGAATGTCATGAGTTTCGAAATATTTGTTTTCGAATTGCAATGATTGATGGCACTCGTAGTCAAATAAATTTGACTGTGCTACATCCAGAACCTATTGGCTAAAATGTAGTGTAGGTCTAGGTAACTATAATTATATTGTTTTTAATATTTTACTTTTTAAAATTAATATTATTTTTTTTTGATAATATTTTGTATGGCCTGTAGCACCTAGCTAATCAGTACTGATGTGTTTGTAATTCTTACAATAATAATCATTTTAATTAAAATTTTTAAAATTATTTGCGTGGGTGGAAGGTGGCACATAAAGAAGCATAGCTGTAGACTAGTCAACTGTAGACTACTATACCATAGAAAGCTAACAATGGCAGCAAACCCTTCTTCCTTTGAAAACATTTGCACTAAGGAACTAAGTGAGTTAGTGACTATATCTATAAATATATATCAAGTAGATATATAAAGTTTAAATAAAATAAATTAATTTTTAGGTATTCATGAATATCATTCAGTTTATGATAGAGTGAAGTCTATTTCTGCTAGCTGGAAATCATTTGCAATTTCATTACGTCTACGAATAACTGACATTAATATTATAGAAGCTAGCTCTCATAAAAATGCCATTTCTTGTCTGCAGAAAGTTATTGCATGAGTATTGGCTAAAGAAAGATTATGATTATGAGCACTATAGTATTCCGTGCTGGAAAATGTTGTGTGTGGCTGTTAAAGAAGGAGGAGGTAACCCAGCATTAGCTGATGAAATAGCCCTTGAACACCCTCTATCAGCCACTACTGGAGGAGCTATTTCTTTAGATACAAGAGAAACTACTTATCCTCTATCTATACGTGTGGGTGGTTCTACTGATATCATTCATAATTACCAAGGAATGTCACCTAAGTCAACAGGTGAAAGCTGTATGTGCATGTATATTATACAATGTCATTTTTTTTAAATGTAGGAAGGGAATGTGATGCCAATGTTTCAGAACTAATTGAAGAGATTCATTCTCCATCAAAGAAATTACCTCCTTATAAACAAGCCATATCACCTGCAGAATCATCTAAAACCAGTCAAAGTAAAAAAACATGTAAGAGTAGTGACATGATACACAATTATATCATATCATGTTCATTTGTTACTGTGTATTTTTTATAGTGTATGTCTTTTATCCTCCATCACAACCTCCTAATAAAGGAGAAAATCTTCAAATAACAAATCAGCTACAGAAAATGAGCAATGAATTTACCACTCTCCTCTACAAGACAAGAAAGGCTCTTGATAGGCAGCATCTTCCTGACATCACTGAATACATTGAAGCTCATGTTGTGTCATTACTTAATCCAAATGATCAAACACCTGAAAACAAGGAGCTGGTGAGACAGGAATTTCATCACATTAAAGATACGCAGCAATTGTTCTGCATTCTTGAAAAATATGTGTCCTGGTTCAACTATTCATTTATACTCAAAATCGTTAAAGTTTTTCTTCAAAAGAACAAATCTCTGAATAAAAGTTGGTCTTCCTATGAAAGTAAAATCAAAGAATATTTCATGATGGGTGAAGGTCGAGCCATTCTATGTGTTGATGCTGTTGCATTTGGCCTCTCTGATATTCCTGGAACAAAAGCAATGATAATTAAAGTTGAAAGAGATGATTACACTTTTTATGATCTCGCTGCTATCTATCACCAAATTCCCAATGCTCTCAAAATTCCTAATGCTAGATTTTACTTCAGCTCTGTTATCATGGGGTGCTTAGGACTAAACTATCTCATTCCTAACTACTTATACTTCATATTCTTCCCTTTACATGAAGAGCAACTAAAAAACCTGGCATGTATTGATGGTATCTCTAAGCTGAAGTGTGGAGAATATTCTTATGATATTAATGAGGTTTGTAATCCACTGCTATGGTGTCAGTTTAGGTATTTTTGTATCACCTTTAGGTGTCACAGCAACAAGCACAGCGCAACATTTCTAACGTTGCCATTGGTAAATTCAATATTGTGTAAATATGTCATTACCTTTATATTCATTTTAATTAGATATGTGTGATCCATTATGGCACGAGAATACCAGTACACCATTACATGAAGCAGCTTGGAGAGGATTAAAAGATGAAGTACAATGGCTTCTTAACAAGTTTGGTTACAGCACATATCATTGTGGTCTTCATGGCTGGACTCCATTACACTCTGCATCATACGGTGGACACATTGAGATCCTTCAACTACTCATCCATCAATATGGTATTGATCCTAATACAGGTGATGATAATAGTGTATCTAGTTTACACATGGCATCCTATAAAGGCCACTTATCTATAGTACAATATCTAGTAGACACATGTCACGTTCCTCCTGATCAAACAGACAGTAGCAATAATACTGCATTACTATACTCAGCAATGGGTGGCCATTCTGACCTAGTGGATTCTTCATTGAGAGAAATTACAATACTTCTCAGATAAATTGTGTTAGTGCCTCTTTATCATTGTTAGCATGCCAAAGTGGAGAGTTAGCATTAGTCCAAAAACTTGAAACATTAAACCTCTTCTCACAAGACATGACTATATCAGGTTCTGGTATATTACATTATACTTGTCGTTCTATGAATAATAGAAGTGTTGAGCTTTTTAAGTATCTTTTACATCAATATCAATTATCCATTGATGTAAAGGATCAATATGGTAGGACTCCACTTCATATTACTTCGTGGCATGCTTTATCATCAGTTGTTGAGTATATTGTTAGTATTCAAGGTAATGAAGCATTATTAGTTACTAATAATGATGGCTACTCATGTTTAAACTATGCATGTAATGCAGGTATACACATTACAGCTGGTATTGTGTATAGCAAGCTTTTTGCTCAAAGTGACACATGCCATAAAGAGTGATGCTAAAGAGAAAGCAAGTGATAATGTATGTACTACACTGTGAATAAAAATTGAGGGCTCCTATTCATGACTAGCATTTATACTAATGCATTTGAGTTGATCTGCAATATTTTAAACAGAATTATTATCATAACACCGTACTACCATTGTAACCTTATCACCATTCTATAGTCTACCATATGCCACACACCAAATATACAATATATTTTAATTACTCATACACTATATAATTCCTTATTTAATATCATTCAGTACTTTTATTATTCTTATATGTCATTCTTATACTCATCTGATATTTCAATATTTTCATAGCTGAATATAAAAATCAACGACAAATATTTATGCCAGCTCACAAGCACACAATTAGACAGTGTTACTTGCTAGCTCTGTCAAAGTCTACTATTTAATTATGCACAAAATCATCATGTATATTTCATAATTTATACATACTTATGTAAATAACATAAGTACACAAATACGTGTAATGAAATTAAATATAATTCATAAACACTTTTAATTGAGTTGTAATGTGTTATGACTGGCACTATATACAAAAATTTAATTTTTAATTCAAATTAGCTTAAACTTCTTACATGGCATAAGGGCATCAATATGAATAGCAATTTTGAAATTTGTATAGTTTATGGTCTTAAATTAAAAATAACAATTTTAACCATATGCAAGTATGATCTAACTTTTTCCATGACATAAATCTGTATCATGCATATGAATTTGTTTTGTACATAAACTTGCTTTGTATATGTTTCATTACAATTTAGAAGGAAATGGATCATATGTCTTGTGGTGCTTTTAGCATTAGCATTATTAGAAGCAATTTAACTAAGCTTTAAAAATAAATTTAAAACTTAGTTCTAAAATAAAGAAAAGATGAGTTATATAGCCTTTCTGTTAGTTTCTAATAATCTTGATAATGATTAGATAAGGATTGATTTTAAGTGTGACAACAAATTTGATGAAGACATAATGTGAATTGTATGTCATGCATAAAATAAAGTAGTAATTTGTGAGTCTTTTTGATATTAAACTTCCTTTTGTTATTTGACAATGGCCAGTTACTACTGATATTAATGAACCACCTGTTGTTGTCGTACGTCCTGTTATGAAATATTTACTACTGATGTTGATATACATCAAATTGTTGACATTAATATATGAAATGTAGACTGCACAGCTTTTATCCACACATCCTGCTATATTGATGTCATTATTTTTTGTTTTAATAAAGTAATATGGTGGAGTTTTTAATTTCAAAGAAAATGGGTTGAGGTTACAAAAACTCCCTTTCCCCATATATTATGGAGAAAGGGAATTAAAGGGAGTTTTGTAACCTCAACCCATTTTCTTAGATCAATAATTACTTGTGTAAATTATCATAATCAAGCTATTTTTTATGGTACGTAGCCATAGATGTACAGTATTCTGAGATCTGATCCATGCAGAAGGTGTATATTTACCAAGGCTGTCAGTGTTTGGTAACTGTAGCATAAAAGGTACAAATCTTGTTACATTTCTGTTTATTGTCAATGTCAACTAAAAACATTTTAGTTCCATTAGTAACAATAATTATCTATCATTGAAGCATAACTCTCATGACAAACAATTTTGCTAGCATCTCCCTTTATATAATATATTCCCTTTCCATGTTTTGATTTAATTACTTTAAATGACTTGCTTTAACTCCCTCTCTTAATTTAGGTTATATGCTTTTTGGTAACCTCAATACAGAGCTTATCAGTTAGTGCATAAATACATGTTTGACTAAGCTACTTCTCATTAATATACTCATAATAATTATGTCATTATCACATGTAGATCCTTTCTAACCAAATTTGAACTAAATCTATCACTTTAATGTTACAATAATCTTAATAATTTCATACAACACTTTGATGCCTCAAACCCATGCTCTTTTTATCTACATTCTCCTTGCTCTTGATGTTTTACCTCTCCTCCTACCTCTAATTTTCACCCAAACTAACAAATTTATCTTTAACTTTATTATTACTACTAATTTAATTTTTACTTTTATGCTGGCTGCCTGGGTTGACCACCAGTGCTAAACTTCATTTACTGGTTTGCATTTTATCTTAATCTATTTTTATGTCAGTGCTGGAAAGTTATTAATAAATAAATAAATAAATAATGATAATATTAATAGTATGCAATCTGCTTTCAAATCATTCCAATTGATGTGGATGAGCATGTACAATTATTCTTTTTCCTTTTTAGTTTTTTAATTTCTGTCATCAAAACATCATTTCCCCTCATAAGAACAGGGTTATTTCTATAGCATATATGTAAGAAGTTTTTTGTGTTTACAATCCAAAGTAACATCCTTATTATTAAGCCATTAATATTAATAATATGCCATCAATTTGTTTAAAATCTTTGTTGTCTTATGAGATTATATTATTCATATTTCATATGTGATTCATATTTATGTACATTAAATGATCAAAGTTGACCTTGCCCACGCTTTGCATAGCTATTTGTGTTGTTGATGCATGATTGTTTTTGCTGTTTATATAAGGGCAATTGTTTTTACTGCTTCATGCTATAGCAGAAAAATGTCTTTGCTGACAACGGTTGCCTTCTTATTGAGTGTCAGTGAAGTTATTAGTCAATGTCCACCTTCCTCAGGTAAGACACTGGATGTGTATAATAACAACCATAGGCTTTTAATTTATAGGTATCTACCTGATGCATAATGGAGATTGCTATCCTAATGGATCATATTTTTATGATGATGACATTAGACCAGAACGACTCATATGTACATTACCTAGTGCTACTTTGACTGGTGGAGAATGGGTTACTCCTGATGGTTCATCCATTAATTGCTGTACTGATCCTCTTCGTTGTGATGTTGTATCTGCACCTAATGCTACAATCAGTCTTTACATACCTACAGGACAAGATATATCATCATCTGATGATGGATGGTATAAGTGTTGTTTACCCACTAGTTGTTCAGATCCAAGCACTAACATCATTTTTGCTAATATATTCAGTAAGTATGTTCTAATTCATTAATTGTTACCAGTACAAAACATGCTCTTCATGCAGGATGGGGACAAATTGAAGATACTACAGTTGACCTTCCTTTAGATGTTACAACTCTGCCTCAAACATATACACTACATGCCATTAAAATTGGCCATCAAAACCAACTCAATACAGATCATGCTGATTGGTTCTATGAGTCTAGTGGTACTAGTACTAAACTCTGCAAAGGATATAATGATGAGTACAGTTGTAGTATTGGCAATGGAATGAAAGTAAATTACGGCAATGGGAGATATGATCATACTCTTACTATTACTTGGAATGGAGAGAATATTGCTAGTGGGATATTATATAACAACAGGGATTTTGTATATAGGTTTTATTTAGAAGTTGGTCATGTTACAAGATATCGTTACATTACAGTCAAAGGTAACAATCTATCGCATTCATAACTGTGAATCTTCCATTCACATATAGTTCCAGCAACTGCTCCCTCTTCTCTTACTGTTGTCAACAAGACAGCTACCACTATCACTGTCAGTTGGACTGCACTTGATTCATCTGATGCTGATGGATATGTAGTCAGTCTCACTGACTCAGACACTGTGCAGACAGTACAGGTGGAGGGAAGTAGTAATAATGCAGTCACACTGAATGGACTGAGAGGAGGGACAACTTATAGCATCACAGTCAGAGCCTATCAACAATTACTGGGACCTGCTAGTAGTGCAATCAGTGTCTTCATTCAATGTCAGGAAGAAGGTACAACATATTTTGATTTTAATATAAATTGAAGTATTGTTTTTAGGTATAAATTTAAGATATAATGGAATCTGTTATTCCAATGAATCCTATTTCTGGGATAATAGTGTCAATGAAGCTACTAAAAATGTATCATGTGTGTTACCTGGTACTAGTCTAACTACTGGTCAGTGGGTTAGAGTTGCTGATCCTGATGATCCTGTTGACTGTAACAGTAATAGTGCCAGTGATCCTTTTCGCTGTACTTCTGTCACTTCACCTGATGCTACTCTCAATCTTTATCTTGCTCAGGGACTAGCAGATCAAGAAGGCTGGTACAAGTGTTGTCTACCCACTGATTGTTCAGATCCTGGCTCCAACATAATCTTTGCTAATATATTTAGTAAAAGGAAAATATATAATCAGTAATTATTGATGGAATAATTTTCATTTATATATAGGATATTCAGAGATAGTATCATTTACTGTTGCTGATCTTCCTTCTGATATGACAGTATATCCTCAGGAATACAAACTGAATTGTGTTAAAATTGGATTCTATCTTTATGGTATTAGTATGAGCATTGATAGTATTGCACTGGCTAATTACACTAATTGTGATGATAGATTTAATAATTATTGTTCTGGTACTGTGTTAGTTAGAAGTACCAACACCAGAAGATATACTGTTGCTATCACATGGGATGGAATGACTGTCAGTAATGGATCAATTAGTCAATTGACCACTGGAGATCAAATGTACCATTGTGTACTTGATAATCCTAGTGGTGCTGATAGAACACGTACTCTAACCATAAAAGGTAAATGAAAATGTCTATGAATACACATGCATTAATAATTATATTTATATCTTTTCTTTTTCTTTTAGTTCCAGCAACTGCTCCCTCTTCTCTTACTGAGGTCAACAAGACAGCTACCACTATCACTGTCAGTTGGACTGCACTTAATTCATCTGATGCTGATGGATATGTAGTCAATGTCACTAATGATACAGACACTGTGCAGACAGTACAGGTGGAGGGAAGCAGTAATAATACAATCACACTGAATGGACTAAGAGAGCAAACAACTTATAGCATCACAGTCAAAGCCTATCAACAATTACTGGGACCTGCTAGTAGTGCAATCAGTGTACAGACCTCAGGTATTGGTATTGCTACTGCACCTCTTAATGCACTTGTAACATTGTTGATGTATTTCTAGTTATTAGTTCAATCAATTGGGTACTAGTCTCATCTATTACACAACTCAATAACATTCAATATCGCTTTGATTGTATCACAACTACTACTAATATGATAAATCCTTTAACTGATGTTTACTGGTTAGTAAATGGAGTGATGAAGAGCAACTCAATATATACATCAATTGATGTCCTGACATACAACAACACACTACTGGTATATCCTGATCTACTGGAAGTGTTAGTTAATATTACCTGTATAGCAATGACTGGAGGATTTAACTACAGTCAATCTGTGATATTACATGGTATCGGGTTATACTTTAATCAATAGTAAATGCCTTTGTCTCCTTCATAGCTCCTAGTGGTCCTCCAAATAATGTGAGAGGGTTTATATTGAATGCTACTAGTATCAAAGTGAACTGGACCACTTCATCAGAGACTAATGGATATGTGATTGAGTATACTACTGGAGGTGTAACTAGGAATTTAGTATCTACCAGTGAAGATGAAATTGTACTAACAGATCTCTCACCAATGAGTACCTATACTATCAGTGTGTACTCATATATAGATCTTCCTTCAGTTAATAGTACAGTAACAGTGTTAAGATTTGATGGTGAGTTATTATCATTGAGAGAATGTATAACTGATATCTGTTCTAGTTCCTAGTAAAGTAACTAGTCTCTCATTATCTAATGTCTCAACCACTGGTATTACAGTGAACTGGACTATTCCCAGTAATGACAACTATGTAACATACTACAACATCTCCTATGCTCCATCTTGTCCCCAATTATCATCAGTGAATGAGACAGTCTCTGTTGATCCTCATCAGTCCACTACAACATACAGTTATACATTAATAGGTCTGTACAGTGGTATGAACTATACCATCACAGTGAGAGCTGGTAATGTACTAGGAGCATCAAATTCAAGTGTCATATCATCTAAAACATCATTATCAAGTAAAAATATATTACTGCTAAGTTTGACCATATTTCTTTACTAGTTCCTGTAGGTGCACCCTCATCTCTTCATGTTAATCCAAACACTAATAGGATTATGTGGAATGAGATCAATTGTTCTCAACTCACTGGTAGATTTGTTGAATATAATGTACTCATTGAAAATATATATCTCAATGAGCTGGTGTTTGGTGCAGTATACAACATTAGTGTAGCTGCTGTCAATTCTGTTGGAAGAGGTCCCTTTAGTGATCCCATTGTTGTAGAGATTGGAGGTATCTAATCATAATAATTGTGACATAATTGTGAATGAAACTCTCTATAGCTAATAATATTTGCGATACATCTAATGAAGGTGGTGCTGCTATTGGACTTGCAATTACTGTAGCTTTGTTGATGATTTTATTAGCTATTAGTCTTGTTGTCCATGTCTACTGTTTTATAAGGTATACTATTAATAAATACAAGAAAAATTATATTAATTTATAACTCATTTCTAAAGATTAATGTACCCCACTATTGTTCAAACAAGAACAACTAAATCCACTGCTAAAGATGAAAATAAGTTAGTGTGTTTAATGAACGGATATTATATGATTGTGTATGACAGAATTAATGAAGACATCACAATGAAAGAATGTGAATCATACTGTCTTCATGAAATAAGTAAAGAAGTGGTGTATGAGGAGTGTTTGCCTGCTGATGATCAATTTCCTGAACCTACTACTGAAGCATTATACAACTAATTGATGCATATACAACTACTGTCATTTTGTGAAATGAAATTTTAGTAATTTCTTTAATAAAGTTATTTTTAATATTTGATCATACATTTTATGTAATAATGATAATAACACAGGATTTTTAGGTTTAAAAGAAAATAGCACCATGGATAACAAACATTGTATTGGCGCCATTTGGCGGTTAAATTTAACGACCCGCCCATTTAATTTAACGTTGCTATAGTAACAGGCAGTAACTGAGTAAAGAAACAGGACGGCCACTCGGCCAGTATCAAAGAATTGAGTCAACTCTACTCAAATCCAATCACTCAGAAGTTATTGTGATCAATTCAGTTGAAGCAGGACACTTCTTGCTCCTCAAGTGAGTTCTGTTTTGAAGGTGGGCGATAATTAGAAATATATACATAATATCCCTCCGTAGGATGGCCCATCTAAAAGTGACAGCTCTCGCTTGGGCTCCTAACAACAGCAAACTAGCAGTGTGTACTGTGGATAGGATTGTACTCCTCTTTGATGGGCATGGGGAGAAGAGAGACAAGGTTTCAACAAAGCCTGCCAACCCTGACGTAAGAAAAAGACTTTATTATTTAAATAATAATTTTGGGATGCCTCCACCCATAAAATGGTATTATTTTGTGGGGCCCATTTAACATTTGAAAAAGTGGTACATGTTAATTTCGATGATATATTTTTGTTTATTTATTTGTATGGTTGTATTTAATATTTTCCTTATTGTTATTATTATACAGTTAGGTAAGAAGTGTTATCAGGTTACTGGTCTAGTGTTCTCACCAGACTCCACTAAGATTGTTGTTGGACAGTCTGACAATATCATATTCGTTTATAAGATAGGAGAGCAATGGTAGGTGGGGTAATGTCTTTATTTTATTTACTCCTTTATGAAATGTGAATGTACTACATGTATTATAATGTATGTGTACATGTATGTACTTGTAAAATGCTTTGACTTTAAATGTATTCTATACATGTACATGTACATATTTGTTTATTTTTGATCTATACCAACAGGGGAAATAAGAAAGTCATTTGCAACAAAATCATATTACAAGTACAGTACGTCCTCGATTATCAGAACACTTTTGTGTACTTCTATTGGGAGAGATGTTCGGATAGCTGAAATAGTCTGAATAAGTGAAATGCAGCGCAGAATACAGTAGGCCGACCTATCCTGTACTTTTTTGAAGAATAAATGTGCATGACTTTCCTTTCTCTAACTCGCAAACCATCTCAGGCTTCTCTTTAATGGCCTTCCTCTTGGTTAAGCTCTGTGAAGCTCCTTGCTGCAGTAGCCATTTTAACCGGTTATTAATAATTTAACTAGTCTGAGCATGCGCATTAGAGACAGCCATGCATTTGGATAAACGAGGGTTCGGATAAAAGAGGTACGGATAATCGAGGACGTACTGTAAGACCCTTTATCCTATGTACACATGTACATATACAAGTACCCTTTTTTCTGAATTCTAAATTTTTAATACCATACATTTTCTCTTTTTAATCTTCCTCTTATTATCCATTCCCCCCCTCTCTCTTTGTCCCTCTCTCTCCCCCCCCTCTCTCTACCACAGAGTGCTGTCACTACCCTTATATGGCCTGTACAGCAGCCAACCTTTATATTTGGTTTAGCTGATGGCAAAGTGAAGCTTGGTAATGTAAAGGGGAGCAAGTCACAGACCATTTATTCATCAGAATCTTATGTGGTATCACTTACTTCAAGGTTTGACTATTTATGCATATTTGCAGCATATACAATAAATATACATGTAGTGTCAACTGAAAAAACGTGATGTTTCATGTAACATGATGAAATACATGTATACATGCATATTTTAATTTTTGTTCTTTTACTGTATAGCAGGAAATTTTGGACGGAATTAAATTTGGCGAATTTGGCGTTTTGATAGCCATTTGCCAAAATTAAATCCACCATTTTGAGCCATTATACGCATGCTCAATGGCACGTGGCCACCAATTCGCCAAATTAAAATCCGCCAAATTAAAACCTGCCAATCACCAAAATTTAGCAATTCGCCAACTTTTAGTCCCTCCAAAATTTCACGCTATACGGTACATAAAAATGAAAACATGCATAAAACATGTCTGAAAACTTGTTACATGTACATCTATGTTTGAAGGTTGAATATAGGCATGTACATGTAGGCATGCATGTAGCATAATCATACATAATGTTATCTATTTTTTGTTTAATTTCAGTCCTTCAGGTCAAGGTATATTGTGTGATCATGCTGATGGTACTATAGTGAGATACACTTTTGATAATGACAGTGAACTGAGCAAAGTACTTGTTATTTATGTAGAATAACCTGTGCATGATTATTGACAAAATATTGTTCAATACATGTACATGCACTGTTGTACATGAGTACGTGTACGTGTGGATTATAGCCTCAATGCTTTTAATTGTATACTGTATATTAATTATGGTAATGTACTTGTAGTTGTATTAAAATGTATTTTATTGGTAGGGTCCAGTTTGTAAGCACAGTTGTTCTCCCTATGCTCTCTCCTGGTCATTGACTAGTATTGTTGCTGCTGGATGTGATAGGAGAATTATGGTATACAACCACTCTGGTGAGATTATATTAATTATACACATGTACATTTATGTATCTTCTTAATAGGTTTTATATCGGGAGTTGTGCTATTAATATTACCAAGCGCTAGCGCTTGGTATGTAGGGTTGAGTTGGACGAGCGCGCCCCCAAAATGGCTGCCATCCCAGAAGCATTGAGCCTGTGTAAATCTTCAGGAATTTTTTATAGCTTATCTGACAGTCAAGATTTCCTTTGTAATTTTATTGAAACAGGTTAGTCTTATAAAAAGTAGCTAAAAACTTCCACAAGATAGTTTTACGGCAATGAATGCATGCATGCCTGCATGCACCAAATGTTCAGGTTTCTCCTTCTTCTTCTTCTTCTTCTTCTTCCACAGTTAAGGAAGAACTAGTCCTACAGTTTTTATCCTAGAAAGATAATTTTTGCACCATTCTGTTGCGCTTAAGGGACGCTAGTGCAGTGTGGTTTGGCATTTAGATTCTCCAAAATGATTTCTCGTCGTTATTTTCAAGTACACAGTTGATTCACCAAGTGGTTGGACGCCATTTTGATGCAGCCAACTGCGCATGCTCAGTAACATTATAATGGCTAGCTGGAGCTGGAAGAGCCTTTTACAATTACTGACGGTACTTACTGACTGATTTGTGATGAGATTAAGATGATGTGCGTACCTAAAGACACGACTATCTACTGACACCACTCGCTTCAAGTGAGAGAAATTATTCTAAATAAACATCAATAATTTTATTCTTTAGTTACTATGACTACACTGACTTCTGTGTTTATGATTTATGTATGTACTTCATTTTACTTAATCTCTTCTAGTAAAGGTAAGTATATAGAGTAAATTGTTGGTTTTATGCTGAGTAAAGCATTCT